GCAAGGGACTTAAAGGGTAATGATAGTTTTTGATTTTGAGGTTTCTTTTTTATATTACCTTATGCACAAAAGGTTTTTGCTATTTTTTTCTGATGTGTGTGCATATATCCATACACATGTATATAACTACTCATTTCCAGCAATCTCTTAGAGTTCAAACCAGAGCATTCTCATAATCATTATGACCTTTGAGGAAGTAGCTTGCTGTAAGACTTTATCTTTTCTGTAATATCACCTTGCAATATAGTTCTTAGCAATCTCAACATGTATTTTTTTTCTTTCCTTATTGAAGGGAAGACTTTCAGCTTTTCACTTTATGGATTCTTATAATGGCTTCTTGTTGACATATCTGAATGTTGAATATCTTATGTTATAGGTCCCTTACTAAGCAAAATAGGTTACTTGGAGTTCTGGGACAGTTGATCTGATAACCAGGAAAGCTACTAAGTGACTAATTGGGTTGATAAATTCACATCCAGGTGGAATACAGAGGGATAACATGATTTCATGCTTCAGTGATTTGTCCTGTTCTTTTGACAGTAATTTATCTGTGTTTTCTGTTGTTTTGTTATTGGAAGAGGAGCTGTGCCCATGAGTCATAACAGTACTATATATATCAGTCTTCATTTTTTAAGGTAGGGTGAGTGTCTAAGTCATTTCTAGATTCTCTAAAATGCCTAGTGGATACAATAGGTGCTTCATGAATGTTTAATAAAGAGGATAATTAAATATTTATGGTGTGTTGACCTCTGTCTAGTTAGAAACCACACTGGGACATTGTTCTATGTTTTGTTTTCAATTTGACTAAAGAATAGAGAGAAATGTTTAACTTGAGGTATAAAAAGAATTGTTTTCCACTAGAAAGTTGTTTGTTGTGAAACTAGCAAAGAATGAGACTTCTTAAACAAAACAAAACAAAATTAAAATATGGTTTATCAAAAATATCTTGCAGATATCCCCTAAATAAGTTTTGTTATCCTGTATAAGTAAGTTCAGTTTTTTAGTATCTCAATAGTTATGGGCACAAGAGACCCACAGGACTAAAAAAGACAAAACAAAACAAAAAACTGATGTCAGAATTTTAATTGTGCAAGATGAAAAAAAAGTTGTAGTTAGTTTTGACATTATGGAAAATTCCAAAACTATTATCTATCAATTTAGATGTTCAGACTGGTACTAGTTTAATTTGCAGCTATTTTAACTTTCAAGAAATACAAAAATCAAACTCTAAGTTTGAAAACATTAAAAAATTAATAAACAAAATTTAATAAATAAAAATCTCAAGAAACTTTGTCATCCATAAATAATAATCTGCCTATATTTACAGCTATTAGATCTTAAAGTAAGTTAATAAGCCACTGCTTCCTATGAGTGCATTAATATACAAATTTATTTCAGGCTTTTTAAGCACTAGGCATTGTGCTAAGCACATCAGATAGTCTGCCTTATCTAATCTTTACTTTGCCCAGAAGAAACAGTTTCAGTGAAATTAAATGCCACACCAAGGTAAGACCACACAGCTAAGGAAACCGGAATTTGGGTCTGACCGACTCCAAGTCTTCAGTACTCTCCTGTTCTTCCCAGTTATGAATACATTTCTCAATACAGATGATTTTTTTTTCTTTCTAATCACCAGAAATGAAGAAATCCTTGTATCAATGAGTTCTCAGTGTGTTTGTTTTTCAGTCTTTCCCTAAATGCTGGAATCATCTACTCAAGGTTTGAATTTTCCATAGAGTTTCAGCATCCTAGAGGTCATTTTGTTTGATTTCATGCATATCAACACTCACAGTTTACCCCAAGCTTGTAAGTCGGATATGTCCAGAAAGAAGTGGGGCTTGACAAAGGACATCTGCTCTTGCTCATGTGTTATTGCTGATACTAAGTTTTTCATTATTCAGGTTTGACGTGGCATTTTCTTAAATTTTTACAACGAAAGTTCTCCTATTCAGTTTCACTTATGTAAATGTTGTCTGCTGAGCAGCTTCTCCTGAGCTTTCTCTTCTCATTTTTCTCCACTGTAGAGCATCGAAATAAAAACAGCCTTTTGTGTCTGTTAAAGGCTGTGTACTTGACGTTTGGACAGGCAGCCAAAATTTTCCACGAAGAAGCCAAGATGCTGAGAGGGGAAGCTTACATTTGGGCGATTTTGATAGTCACAAGTGACCCCCAGGATGCTGACCAAAGCCTCATCTGGTATGCCAAAGCTTCACTTGAAATGGTATGTTAAACTCAGTTCTCAGAACATATAAATCGGAATTCTCTTTGAAGGTTTTCCCAAAGTTCAAGTCTCATAATTATTTCATGTCAGTAGAAGCATGAATAGGTTGATTTGGCCCATTTATTCTTTTATGATGCTATAGTATCATTTATCATCACGCAGCTCTAAACCCACAGAGGCTTAATTTGAGTTCATAAATAAACCAATCACGCTTCTACAAAATAGAGCCTTTGCTTGGGGGGGAGATCAATGAAAAATAAGAAAAAAATTCAGGTAATAAAATTATTTGGTTCCGTTGAGTTCACGTCCAGACTGAAATCTGAGGGTGGCCGAATGAATGGAGCTTTTAAAGCTCCCTCATTTTTTATCTTTGTATTTGGCCTCATACATTAGCAAGACTTATCATTTCCTCAAAAGTGTGTGAAAGTCCCTGGAAGGCAAATAACTGAATTCAGATTTTTTTTTTAAAAAGTACAATTTATTTGAAATAGGTGATATAGTCACAAATCTTAAAAATTAAAAGGTACAAAGGTTGCACAGTAAAATTCTCTCCAATTTGGCAGCAAACTGGTGCATTGGTTTCTCATGCACTCTTCTGGCGCTATAGTTTTTGCATATGTAAACAGACATGCATATTATTTTCCTTTCCTACTGTGTAAAACTTGTATCTAGAAAATTATATACCGTATTTAATGTACAAATTAAGTGTAGTATGTAAGTATTCATACCAAGAATCCAGTGTAAAAAGGAATTAGTCATTGTATGCATATTCTATATGTAATTAATATAATGTACAAATTTTTCTATTCTTTGTTCTGTATCTTTTTTCCATTTAACAATACATCTTGAAGATATGATCCACAATAGTACAGGTATTTTGTAGCTACCTGCTATATTCTAATGTCTGGATATATCATATTTATTTAACCACTTCCCAACAGACAGACATTTAGGTTCTTTCCAGTGCTTTGTTATTATGATTAAAGATACAATGAATAACTTTATATATGTCATTTTATACATATGAAATACAGCTGTAGGGCCAATTTTAGAAATGGAGTTTCAGGATCATTTATAATTGGTACAGATATTACCAAATTGTCCTCCCCAGAGACGGTACCAACTTATAGCCCTACTACTAATGTAAGGGAGACAGATTTTTATTTTTAGTTTGTGTTAGTACATAGTTATGGTGCATCATAATCACATTCCTCATGGGGAGTTGGCACAGGTATAGAACGCCTGTCAATTCTTTTTTTTCATCCTGTTCTCCCCACTTCCTCCTCTCTCTCTCTTGGTCTGCTTCCCTTTCACAAAAGATCTACCTCTTTATTTCTAACTATCTAGCTTTTATTTTGCTCTTTATTTATGCTTTATATTTTGCATTTAAGGAGATATTTAAGATTGTGTGTCTGTCTATTTCACCTCATGTTGTGGTCTCAGGCCGCATCTGTTTTCCTACAGCTGACTCTTTGACAGCCCATAGCATTAAATGAGATGAAGTGTGCAACCCCAGTTCCTGACAGAGAGCGTAGGCCCAACAAATGGTGACTATTATGATTAATTAATGATAAAACCTCGCCACAGATATTCCATTTCATCAAACTTTGACTTCCTTTAAATATAAGTGATTCTGGAAATGTTTATATTATAATAGGGGAAAGTTGGCTTATTATATCAATTTCCTGGAGACTTTAGGAGTCTCATGTACAAAAAAATTCTAAAACCAGGATGTATCTGTTTTCAAACATTAGACCAGGGCTATCAATAGAGCTAAAATTAATTCTGAGTTTTCAGCCTTAAAATAGTAGTATGCTGTTTTCTAAAATATGTAGGTAAAAATACAGTTGTAGTGGATAGCTACAAGGTGGCAAAAGGACTGGGATGTAAGTTTAATGAAAATCACAGCTCATTTTCAGGCTATCTTTTCTTCAGACAAACCCCTCTCTGATGGTTAATCTTTGTTGTCAACCTGACTGGTTTGAGAGGTGCACAGACAACGTTGAGTACATTTCCGGGTGAGTCTGGGAAGGTCATGGAGATGTGACTGTGGAGACTGTATCTGCACACACACACACACACACACACACACACACACACACACACACCTGGTTGTCTCTGCTTCCTGGCCACCTTGAGGTGAGCAGTTTTCCTTTGCCCGGCTCTTCTGACACGATGTTTCTGTCTTGAAGCCAACTAACCTTGGACTAAAACTGAGCTAAAATAAATCCTTCCTCTTTTAAAATGTGTTTGCAAAGTACTTTTGCCACAGCCATGAAAAATCTACTAATACACTCTCCAGTGTCACAAAATCCCAGCCAGAACTATGACCACTGAAGTCCGTCACGAAGACTGGTTCTGTGTTCTTCCTGTATGGAAAGGTGAAGTATCTTCATGCACAACACATATTGTATTGCTTTGATTCACCAGGGTCTCACATCAATAGTATATTGTTATTACAAAGATACCGATATTCTTCCTTTAAAACCAGTTTGGCATATATTAATAGAAATAGCCATCATCCTTTCAGAGTATCTGATTTGGAGAAATGATCAAAAGTTTCTTTAAAAAAAAGGAGAAATGGTAGGAAATATAAAAGCAGACTTTGTTGGAAATGAGGAAGGGGATCAGGAGGAAAGGAGCAGAGGGAGAGTAGGGAGGGGGCTGAAAGAATCAAAATAATCAAGATATGCTACATTCATATACCAATCCCCAAATGAACATAACTATGATACATTATTATAAACATACTCTAGTAAGAAATAAAAAACAATGAAGATAAATTTAAAAAATAAATCTCTTTAAATTGAATTTGATGACTATATAGTCAAACCAGCTAGTAAAAGATCTACACTTTCTTGAATGACAAGTGTTACCATGTTTGTTTTAAAACCACAGATTTTCTTATGTTCCCTTCCAGTTCTTAGGCCTTAATTCTCAATTTGACAGAGTTCTAGGTTTCTTACTTTTCTCTAAGAAACCGAAGACTGACATACATCCAGTTTAACAGGTACAAGCTTGCACATCCATGTTTACAGACACCAGAAGGGTGCTGTCTTAAAGAAAAGGCCCTTTGTTTCCCTCATTCTCTTGAGGACTCCTTCTTTTTGCTTTGGCAGCTCTTCAGTACAGATGACAGAATTTTACTGTTTTTTTTTTTTTTATGAAAGAAGCTACAATGCGTAAGACAATGAAATTTTTCAATAAATTATTTTTTTAAAAAAATAAATACTTTTTATTCTCATCATGTAGGATTGAAAAGTATGCTGTATAAACATAAAAGCTATGAAAAAGAAATAACTAGGAAGAGGTCTGCAGATTCTCCAAGCAACTCTCCACTGAGAGGTTAATCTGGGAGTGGTTTTATAAGACACAGAGAAAATAAGAAAATGGACATGCAGATGTATTGAGGAACAAAATAAATAAAAATATTTTATAAAATTAATACAATCAGTGACAAACACAGAATTATATGTCATCTCTGCTTACATTATCTACAGTGATGAAGAGGGTAAAGTGCCTTACAGAAAATATTACAATTTAGGGATCAGTGAACATGTGTTCATGCTCAGCTAGAGTCACAAATAATTGCATAAATACGTACAAGCAGATAACAGAGTTCTGTTGGAAATTCTGTTTCTTCAGTCTTGACATGTGGCAAAACGAAGATTCGAGCAAATGACCATGAGAAAAAAACTTCTGGGACTTCCAAAGAGGTCAGAACCTAAAGGGCTCTGGAAAACAGTATCTTGGGAGGTCCTGGTAGTGATAAGAGCCAGTAGATTTCAAAGGTTCCAGCAGAGATACTGAACCTTTTCTGGAACAGATGAGGATCCCGTGCAACCAGAAGTCAAGGTGTATTGTTAGAATCTCCAGAAGGAATATGTAATTACACAAGTACAGCAGCAAAGTGAAGTTTGTATTCAAGAGAACACAGTAAACAAAAGTTCTAGACATGTTTCTCCATGCAGAATTAGTAATAAGGCTACCATTAGTACTGGATTAACTCACTGTACCCTGGGCAACCCATGGGTCTCCTTTTGAGAAAACACAAAACAAGTCAAATCCAAAGTCAGTATTAGTGCAAGAGCTTAACAGTGATGTTTGCCCAAAGGTATATGTAGTAGATATACAGCATGTAGTAAATCACATGATCACATGAAAGATACAAAGAGGCTATGGGAATGATAATTCAGAAACAGACATGACATAGTTTCTGACTTCTGGGAACCTCAAATTTGGTCCAGCTGCTACATCAAAAATAATATATTAAATAAAAATAGCAAAATGAATAGTACCTACATAATTTCTTATCACAGGGAAAATTTTTAGATGTACTTTTCACATACATTCACATACAGAGACCATACTTATAAGAATACATGGACAGGGGCTGGGGATTTAGCTCAGTGGCATAAGCGCCTGCCTTGCAAGCAGGCAGTCATGAGTTCGATCCCTGGTACCGATAAAAAGGAAAAAGACAAAAAAAAAAAAAAAGAATACATGGACAAAAGGCAACATCTGTTGCTCATGGAATGGAAAGGTAGATACAGGAGGATGGGATGGAAGTTTTTTATCATTTTCTATTGGACCACTTGAATTTTGAAACACAGAAGAGTGTGCATTCAAAACTCAATAGCATTTAGACAGGAAAAAAAAAAAAAGACCCCTAAGCCATAATAGACAAACATCAGATCACACACCAAAGGCAAATAAATCAGTGTAAACATAATCTAAGAAAGGAACTCAAGAGTTACTTTCCACAGTTCTCTGTCTTGCTCACATGTGTAGACTCAATGCCTTGCATGGTGCAAGGCACCCATAATATGCAAAGATACTTAAATACTTTTTGCATGAATACATTTCTGAAAGGACAGCTATACAGGACAGCAGGTAAATTGCAGCAATCTGAGGGCTGATAGTTTCTGCTGTGGTCAAGTTATGTAACTTCTCTGCATCCTCCACTAGTAAATGAGTATAGAAATAAGGGTCACCAGGACAGGGTTACAGAGATGAACTGGGATTACACGAGGAAGGTACCGCACAGTTGTAAAGCTCGTATTTATGTGAGCCTGACACTGTAACGAACCTTTGAAGTCTGAGGATAATTCAAGTCAGCCCAACTTGAGGAGTTGGTTAAATAAGGTAAGAGCCATGTAATCCAATGCTTCCTTTTTGTAACAATACTTACAGAGGATTCTGAGCACCTCACAAACAAGCAATTAAGAAGCAGAATTTTAACATCTACTATATCTTCAAAAGAAATAACTCACATGTCAAGAAGACACTATGGACTCAAAATAAATAGGAACAATTCATAATTACTGCTGCAGTCCTGGGGCTATTGGTGAGGCAGAGGATGAGAGGAAGCAGAGTGTAGGCACTGGGCACTTCCACAGGGCGGACCATTAATCAGGGATTCTCAACCTGCTCCTCACTCATAAGGTCTTTTGCCTCTTTCATACATTACACTCTGTCAGTTATCAAAGTACCAAGGTTTCCTTCCAGGATCCCCTTGTATTCCATCTTTCTTAGTCTTTCTCCTCCTCTTCTTTCCCCAGGTCCCATTTTCAATGCTTGGGCCTTTAACATCCCTTGCATGCCATGTGCCTTTTCTTTCCTGAACTTCCAAACCACAGGATGAGAATCCCTGCTTGAAAATCACAAGTTTCAGTGCTGGTTACGTCTCCTCAAACTGTGGATCTGGGGAGTGACAAAAATGTATTAATATCATGGGTGGGGAGGGTCTAGAAAAAAAAACCCAAGCAATCTAAGAGAAGAAAAACTTGCATTTGTTAGACCATATGATAAGTTTGCAAGAAGAGAAAGACACATGACATTTATGACCAATTACCATTACATGATAAAAATGACTAACCATTCTGGTTTACTTAGGAACATACTCTTTTTAAAACCGAATGATGGGCCTGAGGTTTAGCTGAGTGGTGTAAGTGCCTGCCTGGCAAATGTGAGGTCATGAGTTCAATCTCCGGCACCAAAAACCAAAACCAAAACTCCAAATGATGAGCTTGGTGTGATGGTGCACATCTGTAGTCCCATACTCAGGAGGCCGAGGCAGGAGGATTGCTGCAAGTTTGAGGCCAATCTGGGCTACATAGTTAGTTCAAGGCCAGCCTGCACTACAAAATGAGACCGTGCCTCAAGAAAATGCCGCCCCCCCCCAATTTAAAAGATAAATAAAACTGAATGCTGTCCTGAGCAATCCTTCAGTCCTGAACAAACTGTGATGATGAACCTTTTAGAAACCAAGTGCCAAACTGCAATCCAAAACCTACTTTTCTGCTCTAAAATGGGAATGATTCTAATAATTGTCTTTGATGTTCTGATTGTTGTTGTTGGGGATTAAATGAGATACTTCATACCATGCATGACAATAGTAAACAGTGCCTGACAGACGACGTTACAGAATTAATTCATTATCCATCCACCTAAGTGAGTGTGGTCCCCTGTTACAGGGAGATGTTGGGGTGCAGGTAACAGAAGCTTTCTTAGCAAAGAGAAGCTGCCCCTTCCCCCTTTTCCCTTCCCCTCCTCTCTCCACAAAGCTGTTCTCCGTGCTTTACCCTAAAGGGCCATCGCGGAATCTTCTCAGACTGTGGAAGGAGTTTTCAGTTTCAAGGCAAAGGCGAGCCAGCAGTTCTCATAACTGGCCTCTAAAGCAAGGGGAGACCACGACGGATAGATTTCTTTGCTGTTGCTTTAACTTTTTGTTTCCTTCCTTCATCTTCCCAGTCCCTTCTGATAGTCTTTTATTTTTTCCTTCTGATATTCTTACCATTTTGTTTCTCTGAGTTTGTATCTCGGATGCTGCATTTTTCCACATCTATCGCATTCACTAAAGAAAAAGAAACCATTTTTAAATTTCCATACTGCACAACTCTACATCCTCCACAATGACTGGAGTTAAAATTCCAAATTCCCATGAAATATTTTTAATCTCCTGGGAAGTCTTGTGAACTTTTCTATTCCAGGATCCCAACTCCCAAGGTTAATTAACTAAACAGTTTAGGACACAGATTTTTGCTCTTAGATTTTCTATTTATTTTTCCGTCCTTCCCTCAGAGATAGAAAGATAGATTCCAAGGTACTTTATTATCTGTTGATTTTCTTCTTTCCATTCCTCTTTGTAGTACTGGAGGTTGAATCCAAAACCTCACAAATATTAGGCAAGGGCTCTATCATTGAGCTATACTTTGCAGATTTAAAAAATTTTTTGAGACAGAGTCTTGCTGACCTTCCATTAGCCTCCTAAATCACTGGGGCTGCAGGTACGTGCTGACATATCTGGCCATCTGTTGGTTTTCTAGCCATTCCTAGCCAACTGATCTTTCTTTCCCAGGGAAACAGTCACAATGCAAGTTGGTAAAAATCATTTCCTTGTGAAATTCACTCCATCCTGGGATCTGACTGTCACTGAAATCTGATTTTCAAATCCTGGCTATCTTAGTTTAAATAAGGACTATTCTTTGGAAATCACTGATTCCTACCCACTCAGATCACTTTTCAGATCCACCAGTCTTTGCAGAAGAGTATGGAGACTTCTTCAACAACCACGGGGATTCCCTTCCATATTCTACTTCCTTATATGATATCAGACTTCTCTTTATGAGGACCACCATTGGATCTCTTGATGTACATATCAATGTATTGGGGAAAATGTTTTCCTATTTTAATAGGAGGAAATTATTTGAATACAGGTATTGGCATGGATTTTAATTGTACCCATGGGAAAGTGGAGAAATGAACACATATAAACTATTTCTAAAGTTACTTAACATCCACCTCCAGAAATCTTGCAAAATACTCAATGGTAAAAATAACACAGCTTTAGAGATGAAGCTATTTTGATTAGTTTGGATACCCAAAGACTAGCTCAGTATAAAATTGCAACTAATGCAAGACTCAGATTCAAATGAAACGAGCGGGCATCACAGTGCTTTCACTTCTGTAAATCTCTGGTTATCTGCATAGTGGAAAGAAGTTGTATGACACTGAGCCTTGTTTAACCCCGTCCATACTGACCCTCCCTGTTCCACTGTTGTTCCTCGGATCTTCACCCAGCACCCCCACTCAGCTCAGGTATGACTGCTTATGAATACTGCGATTTCTCTGTGCCACTCTGCAAAACTAAGCCAGCTTCTTGTAGTCACTGTCCAACTCTCATTCCTCAAAACTTCTACTACAGTGCCTCTTTCCAATGTGGGCGACATCGTGGAAAAACAAATGAGCAGGACAGAAGGGAGAAACAAAACACAGTTTTGCCGAGGGCATACTAAATTCACCCTGCATATCTGAACACTGGCTCTGAAAGGGAAAACTAACAGGAAGCAGCATAAGCCAGTGTTTCCCAACCGAATTTTGGGTAGGACACTTCCTTCCATGTGGGGCTGTCCTACATACAGCAAGGTATTTGGAATTTGTGGTTCTGCCTAGTAAGTACTATTGTGGTTACAATAACATCTTCACACTTCCACACATCCCCAGTGAAAACCGTAATGAAGGAAATACCATCTTTTCTTAGGTAGAGGAGGACAAGTGCCACAACAAAGAACAACGGGATGGTTGCCATCATCACAAAATGATTCCTCTTATTTGTTGGAAATACAGTAGGCGATTCTGAAAAACAAAACAAAACACGAAACTGACTAAAGATAAAATTTGCATAGGCAGTGGCAGGAAAATAATCATCCTTGAAGTACAATTTCAGGTTAATTTTCTTATGTAGTAAAAGTCCCTGGCCAGTGAGTGGCCGAAACAGTGAGATGGCTCTGATAACAAGATGAGAGCAGCGTGGAACAGTGGGAGAAGCCCAGGTTTGGGACAGAGACCTGCCTGAAAACAGCTTACCAAATGGAAATTCTAAATAATGTATCTGGCTAATGTTTGTAAAGTGCTTAGTACCACAGGACTGTCTGCTCAATACTAAATAGTGGTTTTAATTATGTCATTTCTTCTTGCTTTTTTGGGGGGAGGGGATTTAGACTGGGTCTTATTATGTTTGTAGTTCAGGCTAGCCTTGAACTCACTTTGTAGCACATGTTGGCCTTGAGTGCAAGGTGTCCCTCCTGCCTCAGCCTCCCAAGTGCTGGGATTATAGGCGTGGGCCAGCATGCCAGGCTTGACTCTTGATTTAATATAGAAGCTAGCACCTTACTATACGTGACAAGGATGGGTCACTGTAGAACTTGGATGAGACCATTAAAGAGCCTCTGCTTCCTCATATGTGTGGCCACCAGCACAGAAAACTGTTATACTGCTCTGAAATCAGAACATCTCTGGACATCTTATGATTGGTTTCACTCACCAATCCCTATCCACACCCTTGCAGGAGCATGGGGTCCCATGCTTGCAGAATGAGGACTTCCACCTCATGTCAGTCCCTGCTTGACTCTTGCTGTTAACTGTGACCAGTGACCCCTAACTACCTAGTTCAAGCTCTGAAGTCACAGTGCCAGCCAGCCTTTGTCTGGTAGCTTATGGTACACTACGACAGTTCATATCTATTTAAGTCTTGCAATAAGTTTATGGGTTAGGCACACCAGATATTAAAAATAAACCCCAGCTTACAGCTGAGAAAACAAACTTGGGGCAGTTAAATGAGCCCCCAAATGAGGCATCATAAATCAGCCTTTAAATATCAGGAATTCACTAACATAGCTCTTAAGGAAAGTCAATCTCATTTTATTTTCTAAACACTTGCTCACAAGATCATTTTAGATTGTTTTTTATATCGGTTGACTTTTCTGTTCAAGTTTTCATCTGTGTGCTCTGAAGGACTTGGAGTTTTTCTGACAATGTTTGTTAGGGGAGGTGGAGAGAAACACTGCATCTAAAAACTGCTTTGGGTTCATATTAAACCACTTCACTTACTCAAATGGTCTGAACTTCTTACCACTGACTCCCATCCTACCCACTTCTGGAAGGAAGTGACACTAAAAATAGTTGAATTTGTGCTCACAAGGGTCTCAAATAATTTTCATACATTTTAACTCAATTTATCTACAATAACTTATTAGAGGAGGTGAAGCACACAAAAGTCCCATAATTTGCCTAAGCAATGCCAGAGCTTCCAGTGATACAGTCTGCTGTAGCACACGCCACATACATAGGTCCCCACCACTGGCCCAGGGACACAAAGCCTCCCATTCTATGCAGGAAGCCACTGTCTTGAATTGAATAGTCTTCGGGAGAAGACATGGAGAAGAAACCATTACTCCTATGTAGCTCAGAGGTACAAAGGAACATTCCATTTGCTTCCTGCCACTGAGACCCTGGAGAAGCCAGCAGTTCTGATTTACGAGGGTTTGGATCTTGAAACTTGGTCTGAGTTGAGTAAGTTGGTCTAAGTTCCTTCAAACACACACACACACACACACACACACACACACACACACACACACACACACTCACACAGCAGCTGAGCATTTCCTGCATGAAACTGGATTCCTTTTTACCTGTTTCCTGCAGTTTGTCAGCTATGTCTTATTTTTTTATGAATATCTAATGTTTATATAAGGCCTGGCATGAAGGGAATATTCAGTAAATATTTGCTGACTGTTTATTAAGTAGCAATATGACTTGGAAGAATAGCATGCATTTTTAAATACAGTGTTACTCATTTACTCATGTATTCAACCATGGCAGAATTGCCATGATGAGCAGGCATTGTGCTAAGGAGCAGGTGACAGTGTTAGGCATACTTTAATTGACACATTGAAAATATTACCTGGGATGATCAACTCAGCTGTATAGTTTCCCCCAGAACCTAATCTCCGAAAAGTACAGTAGAAAATCTTATTAGCTGTTGCGTTGATTCTCAGCATGCTGGTCACATTGAAAAATTTCTCCTCCCTCTGAGACTTGGTGACGACAGTGTTGCCACTGAGGATTTGCTGGTCACTGCTTTCCCAGATGACTTCAGCCTCAGGGTAACCCTCAGCCTGACACGTTAGTTCGTATTCAGAGGTGACTGGATCCACGGAAATTCTCTGGTTGATTTTGCGATATGGGGCTAGGTGATGAGCAAAAAGAAGCCAGGCATTTTTCTTAGCATAGAACTAGACTTGTTGCTTGGTGGTGTCTATATTAGAAGGAATGTTAATGCAGGCTGGTTCTCAGAGAAACAAGCTTACTACTTAGGGTCCTCAGCAGTGGGAACCCCTCTTAGTCTTCCTCAACGTTTTGTTTGAACTTGGACCAACTTTGTGCCTAAAGAAGTAATTACCTTGCTATAAAAATCATTTAGTCTAGCACTCTGGGATGCTGAGGCAGGAGGATCACAAGTTCAAGCTTAGCCTGGGTAACTTGGTAAATTAAGCAAGACCTCACTTCCAAATGAAAGATAAAAAAGGGCTGGGGATGTCTATTAGTGGGCAGTTCAATCCTTAGTATTGAAAAAACAAAACAAAACAACATGTTGGTATGTTTACTAGGTTTGAACTAAATGCCTAGGTTAATTTAAAATAAATTTTTCATTTTTAGTACTCTTTCTATCCAAATATAAATGCCCATTTATTCAAGTGTTTGTATATTTCTTGGTAAAGTGCAATATTTTTCACCTAGGATCCCATTTCTGCATAAACATATTCTCAAGTGTTTTTTTTTTTGTTGTTGTAAAGCTGTCTTTATGAACATGAGCCTTTTCAGATGGGAGCACTGCTTTCTTATTACTCAATAAACTGATTTTGATGCATCATGTGCCTTTTCACCTTTAGGTCAATGATCAGAAATTAGACATGCAAATGTATTCTATGTTATTTGTAAAATTAATGCATTTCTAGTGATACTTTTAGAAGTGTATTTGTAAATTTGGGGATAGTTTTAGACTTACAAAAGTGCTGCAAAAGTAGCGTCATCACTGTATAGTCCTTACCCAGCTTTCCAAATTATTCCCATCATATGTTACCACGGTGCAGTCGTCACAACCAAGGCTCTGACATTAGCACCTTACTGTTGAGCAAATGTCATAATTTATCCGCTCCATCAGTTTTTCCCTCATGTGCTCTGTCTGTTTTATAGAATTTGATACAGTTTTAGATGATTGGTTTGGGGCCCTTTTATGATTAACACATCCCGTTTTCTGACTACTCTAGTAGGGTGTTTAATGCACACAGGTAGCATAAAAGCTTGTTTGTGTTTTAATCTGATTATATTCTTCTGGCATAATCATTATTTTACTACTAAAACTTTAGTGAGTCACTAATGGTCAGAGCCTGAATTCTCCTTTCCTTTACAGGACATAACAAAAAGTTCATGGCATAATATTTTCACAGAGATGTAACACAAAGTAGCTAGGATAAGATAAAAGTGAAAGAATAATGATGTGACATTTTGGTGCTCTTAAATCAAGGAAACTACCACCAATAAAATCAATATAATTAAAATTTCAAAACATATAAGTAATGACTTTTGAGTATTTAAATTCTTAACCTTATATCTGTTGTGTTTAAGAATCATTTAAAAATGGAAACTATGATTATATTTATGAAATAAATACTTCACAAAATAATATTAGTGTGATAAGGTTCAATTCACATAGCACACATTTGATTTCAGGGTAAGTAAAATTTAAGACCTAAAAATATCTGTGGATGGTAAAATGTTAGGGGTAAAACATTTGTTTTTCTTGTCCCTCTGTTATCATTTTTAGAAACAGATTATTAAAGGAAGATACGTTAGGAGGAGTAAGGAGGGTCCTGTTTCACATGGAGGAACACACCTAAATACGGTGCATCGCTAAAGCCAAGGGACGGATGGATGAATTACAGAAGTGACTGAATCCCCACTGCATTAGTTTCCGGAGTGGGGCACACACCTGAGGGTACAGCAAAGAATTTCAGAATTTTCACTTACATGTATTTTTATCATGTCAATTAATCATTTAAGCGTCCTAAGCTTTGCTAGTTGGTGTTAGATGCTCACTTTGCCACAGAAGCGTCTTCTAGAAAGAGGGGAATTGTGTATATCAAAGAGAGGCTGGCTCTTATTTTCTTTTAACTAAATGAAATGTATAAAATGACTTAATCAAAAAGTGTCCCACAGAGAAACTGAGAATTGAAGATAATATTAATTATTCAAGCAGAAACTAAAGGGTAATGTCCAAAATGAATTTTTATCAGCCACTTTATGAGGTTAAAATCAATAAGCACTTAATTGGACCTGACAAAGTATTCACTAAAATCCCTTAAAATTATTAAAAACATCTACCTTTATTAATGATGATTTTCAAGATGTATTATGCCTTAACTTATTAGCTAGTAATAGGAAAGCATCACAAGTAAGAAGACATTAAAATATTGTTTGTTAAATTTTAATTCATCCTTTAAAATGTCTCTTTTTATATTTTCAGAATCTATAATTTTAGGATGAACCAAATGAAATTGGTGATTCTCATCCTCTTTTGCCCCTCAAAGATGGCAACTTGTTGTAATACAATATGTGTATTAGAACAAATTGTATTTTTTATAATTTATACAAACATACTCACTTTGCAGATGGGGTGGATAATCAAAACTTTTTGCAGACCTCAGGTCTATTGATCTAGAGCACTATACTAATGTTGGTTAATCAAGACCAAAAAAATTCAAGATTACTTTTAAGCCATTAAACAACTTGAACACAGTCTAGAAATACAAAGATAGGCAGCAACTTATGGTTATGAAGACTTCAAAGCTAGACTGTTTATCTTTAGAACTTGGCTTTACCACTTACAAGGTAGTGACTTGAGCAAATTGATCAATTTCTTTGGGCCTCAGTTTCCCAATTCTTAAAATGAGAAGAATAATGCTGATGGACCAGCTGAACAATACATTCTGACTTCAGTCAAGTGAGAAGGCATATTCCTTTAATCTTAGTACTTGGTAGGCTGAGGCAGGAGGATCACCATGAGTTCAAGGCCAGCCTGGGCTACATAGTTCAAAGCTAACCTGAACTGCATAGTGAGCTCCTGGCTCAAAAATCTGCCTCCTCCAAAAAGATAAAGAAAAGATACATTCTTACATATAGTAAAATGAAAAAAACATTAATCTTAAACATAATGCAACACCTACCCCACAGAATCATATGAGGATTAAATGAATTATGATAACAAAAAGTTTAGTACTGGGCTTAATCCACAGAAGTGCTATGTAAGTTTTCATTGCTATCACAATTCCTACGACCACCAATATCTGAGCTGTTCCCCTTAATGCTACTGCTGAAGTACATTTTCAGCATACTTTTAAGAAAGTACTACAGTTCTTGATAAGTGATCTTGGAAAGAAATTTAAAATTTAAATATTAAAACTTGCTCATGTTTCAAAAATTTCAGGCTAACCTATGGGGAGAAATCATTCAGTCATTCACTCAATAAATATTATTTGTGTGGTCTTTGCACACTGCACTTTACTATATGGCAACTCCTGGAATACAATGATGAATAAAACACTGACTGTACCTCTGCCCTTCTAGAGTTTATGTTCTACAAGAAGAAGAGAGAAAAAAGGCCCATTTATCATGTCCTACATGATAGTGATAGATGCTGAGGGGAACAGTTAAACAGGGGTGGTGAACATAGGGGCAGGGAGCTAGTGGGGAATGCTACCAGGTGACCACTGGGCCACACAGCTGCTTTAGCCAGCTGTCTACCGCTTTGTCCTTTCAGCTGCCAAATCCCATTAAGGCCAAGAAGATGTTAAATGAACATGTCACTTCCCATGATATTAAATTCAATTTTCAATTGAGCTTCGGATGCTGAGAATCTGGTATTTAAACTGACAAACACGAAAGGTGTGATAATACCCAAAGTGATAAATGAGTTAACCCAAAACCAAACCCTTTAAAATTTCAGTTTTGAAATGCTTCACCTTTAAAATCCCACTGAGTAAACTCCCTGGGGGGAAGCTGCCATACCACACATTTGCAGTGATGGGAAGAGAAGCCCAGAAACATTACTGTGGAATAATTTGCATATAGAGGTGACTCAGGAGTTCTACTTCCTTGGGGTGCAGAGCTTCTGCACATAAGCCACCGAGTTTCCATGGGGAGGTGGGACGTTGCTTCTGTGCAAGTGAAGCCTGGCTGCTGCTTTATTTTCAGTGCAGAAGGTGCAGACTCTTGGTTTAGCTCAACTCAACTTTCCAAACCACTGAATGCAAATGACAAGGTGGACTGGATCTAGGATGCCTATTTAATACAGTACTATATTTTGTAAGACAAAAGAGAACAGTCAAACAAATCAGACCTTCAAGTCTCCTTGGTCATCTTCTTTGGCTCGTGAAAAACCCATCAGTGCCAGAGTTCCTATTATGTTAAAGAGATATTATAGAGCCAAGATAATCTGGAATAATCTCTTTTTCATTATGAAATACCCGCAAAATTGTCCCCTGAATATTCCCAACAGGCCGATGGGAGGCCTCTGGGAACAGAAACTTAAACTTGATGCTTTCATTTCCTTTACTGCCAGGACTGTGTTCTTATATTCCACAACCTAAATCTAGCAATGTTGACTCTTCACACACTTAAGCCTTGAAAATTTCTTTCAGTGCCTTAGAACAAAGTAAATACCTGATATTTGCTGATGGATTAAAGAAAAGTTGTAAACATAAACAACCCATAATAAGCATGTTTTCATGAAAGTCATGAAAGAAGAGACCTATGATAAAATAGAAGAATATTAAGTCTACTTTACAAGTGACATTTTCTTAACAATGGCAGCATTAACTAAGCCAGCATCAGAGATCCAGTAATGTACCATAAAAAGGATGGATTTCTCCTAAACTCTATCTAATTTTATTTTTGTGTTTGTAATTATCAGCAGTCCTTCATAATAAATACAAACTTTTCTTATATTACTGACTTAAAACTGATGGTAGTAATTAGCTCAGAACAAAAGATCAAAGGGAGACAATTTAATTCTAGTAAATATTAAAATCCTAGTAAATATTAAAATTTAATTCTAGTAAATATTAAAAATTAAAATATTAATTCTAGTAAAAATATTAATTCTAGTAAAATATTAAAATATTATAAAAATAAAAGAAGTAGGGAGATAATATCCAAGGTGTGACAGAGAGACTAGGTTTCAGCTTACTATCAGAGAGAAATTTCCAGTCTCTGGAAGGAGATTCCAAATAACAGGAATGTCATTGTGGGAAGCATATGAACAGAAGATCCTTTCGGGGATTTCTGTGCTTTGAAGGAATTTGGATTAGCTGCTCACACCTGGGATTCCTTCAGCTCTCAGTTCTGTGAAACTCAACAGTGAAAGCAGAGGTGGTCAGCGAAGTTGTTTTCCTTCCCTTAACCAGCACCAACCTATGACTTTGAACTCAAGTGACCTGATGTCATATTTGTGGGTCAGTATCCAGGAATTAACATCCACAGTTCCTTTTCAACACTCCAAGATAACACTTGCATAGATTCTGCAATGAATATACACCTGATGAGCACAGCCTGTACCATGTCTGAGAAAGAGTGGTTTCTTTTACTTTCAATGTGATGATTTTTTTCCTTTATCATTCACTTCAAGTCTTTCTGAGTGTAAACCTTATAATAGGCTTTACTTTTAATATATTTATTTGGGTTTGACACAAAGAAACTCAAAGGAAGGGAAATGTGTCAGTCTAATAGAATAAAAAATAGCATTTGAATAAAAAAATTCGGGAAGGACACATAAACTGTGTTTACTATATTCATACCATGATGGGGACTACAGGAGGAACACTTACAATCACTTTATTCCCTTCCATAGTGTCTTAGTTATTTGTAAACACATTTATTATTTCTTTTTTGCATTTATGATTTCTATAATAATAAAATGTTGAAATCTGGAATTTACTTTTTTGGAAAACTGAACATACGGTTGGGAATATGACTGTGTTACTCGGCTCTGGGTATCTAGTGACTCTCCAATGGCAAGTGCTCTAGTAGTGTCCAGGGATGAGTGTGTGAATGAATGAATGAATGAATGAATAGGCTGCTATTGTTCTGTTGAAGAGGAAGTCTGCATTTCCAAGAATGAAAATCTCCCAATACTTGATCTGTTACAGATAAAGGTCAAGTTTCCTTAGTTATAATAGTTCTTACCATTGACTTTCAAAGTAATCCGCTTATAGTCCGCACCACCATAACCGATCATGCAGCAGTAAACCCCTGCATCTTGTAATTTGACATCTGTGATCAGAAGTGCAGCATTTCCCTTGAAGAGCTGGTCTTTGAGCAGCCAGGCCCTATGCCTGAAGCTACTGTGCTGAGCCTTGGGGTCTTCCGTTCCATGCACAAACTGAATGATTTGCTTATCATCTTTTTCCCAGTAGACGACTAATGAAAGCAGGTCCAATTGTTTTTGTACTGGGAAGTTGCATTCAATTGTCACATTGCTGCCATATTCTATGACATACAGGTCCTTGGGAACTGTGATAGTAAATGCTGAAAAGAAAGATGTCTAATTCTCAGAAGACACAAAATTCATCAAAACACTTATAAAGTAATTACAGAACTTATAATCACTTTAACTGAATCATTATAAGATAATTATACTTAATAACCTATTTCCCCAAGATATGTATTTTATCAGCATGCTTGAAACATATTTTGGGGCAATATAAGCTGGTCCTTGCATTAAAATAATAAAAGTAGCTAAACAAGTTGTCCTATTATTCATAAACATACATTTCTGTAAAAATACTATACGGTGATGCACTACTGATAACTAGAAAGACTTAGTTTCATGTACACATTCCAGGAATGCCATTTGACTGAGTAAATATTTTCTTTCAACATGTCTGGACAATATATTCCAATAGTCTCCCATTCTTACTGTCCTAAAGTTTTGATCAGTTCTCTAACCAGAGGTTCATAGGTATGGAAATTTATGGAGGGCATCAGGATGTTGTCAATACTGTTATTCTCACAATTTCAATGTTTACTGAAATTCTTAGAATATTTTCATCAGGAAAAGTAAGTCACAGAGCAGTACAGATAGAATGAGTCAGAACTTGCTTAAAATAAACAAAAGTATATCTATAGGTAATTTTCCCAGAAATTTTCTTAGTTTTCCCTGGGAAATAGGTAATGTGCTAATTCTACACTGTCTGTATTTTCTGTATCTTTACACAATGACACAAATAATTTCCAAGAGTGAAGGTATACATGAAATAAAGAAGAAAAAATAGAATGCTCTGTCTATAAGATCCATGTCCATTTAAAATTATTATTTCAGCTTATAAACTCATGGTTAAATATTCACAATATAGAAGTGAGTGGAAGGATTTGGTGCCTTACCATGCAGCAAGTGATAGCAGAATGTGAATATAAAGATTGCAAATATTCTCATCTTTCTGGAATGACCTAATTATAGGAATACAAAAAGAAGATTGATTTATTTAATAATTGAACACTCAGTATGACAGTATGAGATTTGATAGTCCTAATTGGAATAGTCCTGGATAACCAGCTAATGAATGATTTGCAAGAGTGGAAACACAGTGGGGAATTTGGAAGTTCAATACCTTCATTTTAGCCCAGAGGTGTATAGAGCCGAGTGGAAAACAAAAGCTACTATGAGAAGATGAAAATTTTTAAATTTAGCTAAAGGCCCTGAAAAAAATTATAACATACACTCAAAACAAGTCAAGAAGAAAATATCTCACTGATAGCCTCTTATTTGTTTCATGTTTTTCTGCTTTGTAACATACAGAAGAACATATAGTAGAAATCCAAACTTGCCATATGTGAAAATTTAAAGCAAAAGAATTTGACTCACTTCTCCTACCTACTGAAAGACTTCCCTTTACAACATACAACTAAATACTTTTAACTTGTATTTAACTACTCCAGACTTATACTTTGCTATACCTGATTGCTAGGTCCATCCTTCTCCCCCTTACTTATTCCAAATCATAAATCCCATATTCTCAAGATTCCACTGGTAACTGGGGTGGAGCAGGGAAGACGGTGTCTCATGGACACATTTCCAATGGTATCTGCCTTTTTTCATTACATCGTTGTGCTTAAAATTTTCAAATCCTTTCACTCAGCAAACACTGAACACTTCCCTGTGCCAGGCACACTACAGTTCACCGAAGATGTAGCAGTCAGCAGAAAAGAACTGTGATTCTGCTCCTGTAGCTGATATTCAAACAGCAAAGTAGAAGAAGACGTGTGCTTTATTTCAGGCAATCTGTATATTTATTAACATATTTTCTCTCTTTTATGTTTGATAAGAAACAGAGTTTTCTCGCTTGGTGTTGTTCCAGCCCTTACATACATACAGAATTAATCAGTGTTACAGATACACAAAGCAGAAGAGTAAGCTACTGATATATAATAGCTTCTAAAATCAATAAGAAAATTATATATAATCCAAGAGGAAAATGAGCAAAAGTTCTAACATAAAATTCACAGAGTAAGATATGCAAACCAGGGGCCAGTAGTATCGCTCAGTAGCATAGGGCCTGCGTGGCAAGTGCAAGGTCCTGAATTTGATTCCTAGTACAAAGTAGACATACAAATGAGAAGTAAACAAAGGAAAGGACGCTCAACTTCACAATAAAAAGTATATTTAAGATAGAAAATATCGTTTTTCACTTACATAGCTTGACCAAAATTATGTTTCCTAATATCTAGTATTTGTGAAGTTACAGACAAATAGGCTTTCTTGCCCATTAATGGAATGTGAAATTGTTTAACTCATTTTGAAGGATAATTTGGTAGCCTCTAACAAAAATTTTAATATATATGTCATATGCCTTTTCACTGCCTCTCCTATAAATCTAAAAACAAAAAAACAGTCATGCATCGTGATGTACACCTGTGATCTCAGCAATCAACAGGCTGAGGCAGGAGGATCTCCACAAGTTTAAGGCCAGCCTGGGCTACATAGTGAACTAAAGGCCAACCTGAACACATAGTGAGACCCTGTCTCAAAAACAAAAATGTACACATAGTAGTATATGTACAGGGATGACATTGTTAATACTCTAATAGCTTCAAACTAAGAATACCCTAGGGAACTTAAATGATTCAATAAATTTTGGGATTTTCATATAATACCATTAAGGTACAGAAAATGTATGAAGGAGAAAACTACTTTTGTTAAAAAATGCCCGTGTGTGTGTGTGGTATCTTCAGACACAGGAAATGTTTAAGATGTTGACAGTTACCTTTAGGAATGAAGTGAGAGGAGGGACGGGTAGTTTTTCACCAATTGTAATTTTTTTTTTTTTGAGACAGTGTCTCTCTATGCAGTTCAAGCTGGCCTTGGGCTCACTTTGTAGCCCAGCCTGGTCTCGAACTTGCAATGATCCTCCTGCCTCAGCCTCCCAAGTGCTGGGATTACAGGCGTGAGCCACCACACCCAGCTCACCAATTGTAATTTTTAAAAGGAAGGAAAGATACAAAAAGAGAAATGATTTTTTATCTTGAGAAGCTGCAAAAATTTAGCAGACCAAAGTGGCATAATGGAAGAACCCCAGAAATGGAGTCCAAATAGTTGAATTGAGGTAGAATGACATTAATTTATTATTACAGTTTTCCTCACTTGAGCAATACAACCATATTAAAGAAAAACAGGAGAAAATCACCCTCTACCACTCTCACTCAGGGAGCATTTGGGAGTACTAAAAGTGTATTACTTGGTAACTCAGTTTCCCTGTCGAGTGGGTTTGGGACAGGGGAGGGCTGCTACTAAAATCCAGCTGTAGAGGCCAGAGATAGGACAGCACACTCACAAGAGAGGCATACCTCACCTAACATGTCAGCAGTGCTAAGACTGAGAAACCCCAATCACTGTGAACATTTCTGTGAATATCTTTATCTTTTTTGCTATGAATCTTTAAGTGATTACTATCTTATGCATTCAGTACCCTGTAGATAGGGAGTAAGGATGGCCTGTTAGGACACAAAGGCTGCTGAAAAGAGGGTGCTGTCAGAAAGGACTGACTGTCCCTTCTTTGGGTCAGAGTTGATTACAGCATAATTATAAAGTATTAATGTGATATTATAAACACAAACACTTGTTAGGCAGGAGAAAACTTAAGGTACCCCGGTCCCCAATTAAAGCACTGTTGAATAAAACAGGGAAATTAAATCCACTGATACAATATATCTAATTTTGCCAATGTATATGCCATACTTTGGTGGAGTTCTTATGGTTTAATGAATCTGGTTGAAAATATTAGTGTGATAAATGTTTACCAGAAGTGATGAATTAGACCTAACATTTACCTAATTCTTCATTATGCCCCCTTCTCCAAGGCTCCATTCTCTTGGAGTGCAACCATCACTAGTCAGAGAGAGAAAGAGGGGAAAAAAAAAAAGGAAACTAGACCATGTAAATAAGCATAGTGTTTGACTTCTAAATCCCATAATAAGGCCGCTGCTCAAAGAGGAAAACATGGACATCTCCTTCAGATAAGAAATGGTGACCTTGTGTGAATTCCAGACAAGACAAGAATGGAGACTTTTGCAGAGCAATGGGTTATGAACTGGAGAAGACACCCTGGCTCAACCAGGGGAAGTGGGTTTGTCCCTAGGGGAAGCCCAGTCTAACATCATAGAACTAACACCACTTCTCAGCCTGTCTAGGGTAGATAGTTAGGAGGAAGAGGTAAAGGTGAGAGCTTCCTTTCTCAGGAACAAGAGAGTTTATTTATTAGTAAGTCTTTACTACAATTTCAAACTATTATACTTCACCAGACTCTGTGCCTAAACTCCTTCCTCTCAGTCACACTAAGACACTTTGGTACATTTCCACATATGGCTTCAGTTCCAGTGTTTCTGTGTCTTTCTAAAAGGTCACACTAACTACTGTCACGCAGATCCTGTCTACCCTCCTCCACTGAAAAAGGCTAATTTTTTTTCAGTATCATCGTACTTAAATACTGTTGGTGACTATCATTGTTAAGTGGTACATCATTTCTGACAATTTTCAATATTTCTCAAAAGGTCTTTTAAATATTCAGACATTTTGACTAAGTAGTTACAATTTTAAGGGTTTTTTTTGAAGAAAATAATCAGCAATGTCCCAAAGACTTACATGCAGTGATGTTTGGTGAATGGCTATGATAATGAACCACTATAAATAACCTTTACGTCAGCAACATGAGACTAATTTCATTTGGTTACTAAAATTTTTAAACTGATAAGAACAGATATTACAAAAAAGAACACATTTATCTTAGAACACTTTATCTTAGCCAAAAAAATCAATCATTCCTAAATCTTTTTGTAGGCTTGTTAACAGAAAAGCATCCAAAGTATGTATTTTTCCAGATTAAACAACAAGAGGGATACCAGTGGTACTTTCACTCCTTAGGTTATAAAACAATCCAAAGTGAACCTTAACATAGGCCAAGGTCAATGTGTCTAAGGCATTTTTAACATGCCATCCCTATGCTCCTTCTCTATGGAACTCTTTTATGTTCTAGGAGCTGCTAGAACAAAAATCTTAGGCTTTGGAGTTTTGGAATTTAGGACCGAAAGGGGGCTTTGGGGATGCTGCAGGCAGAATAATTTACTCAGAATTATATTGCTAATGAGCAGGTAAAGGTGAATGAAGTAAGATCCAGGTGTCTAACATCCAGTCTAAGAAGATCAGTCTTGACCGGGCTGTCTATGGACCATATTCGTGCACATGCAGTCACATAGAAGATTGACATTAAAGCAAAACTAAATCGCACTGCTCAGGAGGCTAGACATACAGTACTGCCAATTCTTAGGTCTGAACCCCACCAAGCAATCGCCCCTTGACCCAGCGTGCCCTAACTCTCTCTCTTCCCCGTTCCCCCCTCCTCTCTCCATCCCAAAGACTTTCCATCTCTACAGATGCAGAGTTGGCCCGAGACTCGGGCACTGCGTGCCAGGCAGGAGAAGCACGCTCCCTACCTGCGGGCGCGGAGACTCCAGGTCAGCTCAGAGACGCTGATGCTGCGCTGGGGACTGCGAGGGGGAGCAGCCAGTGCACCAGCTAATTACTGCCCTGCGTGGGGAGCCCGCCCACCTCTCTTCAAAGCGCCGCCTCCAAAAAAAATCCAGCAAGGACCGGACTTTTTCCCGAGGCGCTGGGATAGAAATTAGAGAATTCTGTATTCTTTTAAACAAGTATATGTAAAACCGAAACCAAAAGCTGAAACCACCAGCCCGATTTTCCCGTAAGTCAGACCTTCATCTAGAAGTTTCAATCAGACAGGGTTTGTGCCTGCCTGTAATCCTAGCTACCCGTTCGGGAGCCTGAGGCTGGATGCTAGGTTCGAAGCCAACCCGGGCAATCGAGCAAGAAACTATTTGAAAAAAAAAAAAAAAAAAAAGAAAAGAAAACAAGAAAGAAAGAAAAAGGAGGGGGATATAGC